TGTTCGTACGAACCCTTTGTACGAACAAAAGTAAGAGAAAGCTTAGGAGAAGAATACGAACATGTTCTTGCATGAGGCCCATCGTTACTAAAATTTTTAGTCAACAGTAGTAGTGACAAATAAATATTTTATTAGTCACCATGTGAATAGCATGAAGGAAACCCATGAGACGACAAGGAAGATTGTTCAGGCACAACTTCAAAGTTTATTCAGACTACTGTTACATGTTTGCCAAGTAAATGTGTAATAAGTCATTAGTATTTCCATTTGCACTTACATAATTTTCAASTTACACTCTTTTTGAGTGCTACATGGCTAAAGTAAACTATAGTGTAACCAATATATTGTGTAATCCGTTATTTCCTGTAGCCTCTGTGGAACCTACAGTTACTTCTTCAGTTACGTCTCTGAGAGAAAAAAAAACTATTTATTAAAATCTTATAAGGTTCACATTACAYTATTTCCATTTTGAATCTCTAAAAATCTCATAAACACAATGCCATGAAGATGAGATGTATGAGAAGTTATCAACCAATTAAATTTGATTTCAATTGGATATTGCTTTAAATGCTTCAATTTCATAATAATAATAACACACAAATAATTCATTAAGAGTCCGAGTAGATAATTTTTGATACTTAGTTTCTTGTCCATATAAACTGAAATGTTATACATTGACATTTTTGCCCTCCATATTTAGGACAAGAAATATGGAGATAGATAGATAGATAGATAGATGTCAAAATAGAGAAATAAAATATCTGAAAATAAAGCAGTAGCATAGTAATACTTGTCCTAAATATGGAGGGCAAAAAAATAAATAAATAAAAACGAACAAAAAAACCCCACAACAAACTGGCCAGGGGATCAAATTAATCAGAGGATTTTCTAAATCGATCTTAAAAAAAACATTGACAAATCAGCATTTTAGCCAMCAAATGTTTAATTCTGTCCAGGGTTTCACTAAAATAAGACTGAACAAACATTTGGACAAGATTCAGGAAGTACAGAATAAGGAGTGTCACTAGKTTGTTTGACTTATGATGTGTTGTTCATCAGCTGATTTTCCAGCTGTATGTTACTGATTAATACTAATACTGCAATTATACAAAGTCACAGGRCTGCTGTAGAAAAGAAAAGCCTTAAAACAAGACCAGGCTCCAGAAAAGATGAGTTATGTTTGTAAACAGAAAACAAAAATCAAAAAAGAAAAACCATCATAAAGTGTTTTCACTTTTATTTCTTTTTCTTTGTTGCTTGATTTAAAATACGATTTCTCACGTCATAAATGAGTTTTACTGTGTTTTTTTTTTTCAAATACACTCTTGAGATGTTATTATTTAACACAAACATATGGACTAGGTGTTGGCTGCTACTTACCCAGAAGATGAAGTTGAAAAAGAAGAGCAAATACTTGACACATTTCATGCCACCTTCCACAGCCATGGCTGCTAATGATCAGGCTCCTGGGTTAAAACAAAGATGGGAAAAGGAAAAGGTAAAATAAGTGTGAATTATTAGAGCATTACATCAGCTGAAATATGAGCAGCAGAAGAGTGGAATATGTGACTCATTTTCAGAAGAACTACTGACTGAGTCAAGCTTTAACTTGAGCTATAAAAGCTCTTTCGGTAACTTTTTAAACCTACATTTCAGGATAAGAAAACATGATTATGTAAAAAAAAAAAAAAACAGGAGAAAAGCACAAACTCATAAACTATTATGTTTATAAAACAGTGAAAGCCTGCACTAAAAATGTAATCAAGTCGAAACTTTCCCAACATGGAGCTAATAAAAACGATGTAGTCAATAATCTACTGCCTAATAAAGGCAGAAGTGTTGTTTTGAGGAACAGAGGCCGTTCAGCTCTGCTCCGGGCCGTGAAAACAATACGAGCTTTGTCAAAGGCCAAATTAGATCAACCACCCACCAACCACATCAACAACAACCAAATTACTCATTATTTTAGCTCTGTAAATAAGTTAAACCAACAAATACACGACAATAAACAATTTAAGTTACAGTGCTATCGAATGAGCAGAATAAACCCCGCGTTTTATTGTGTTTTTTAACAAKTGAAACCGTTATTTTGAGGTAAAAAAAAAAAAAAAATTCACGACGAACACGGCGGCCRACACAAAAACTAATAAAAATGTCTTTCATCTTTTCTGACTTACCGTTGAGTAAAGTTACTTAAAGACCCTCAAAGAGGCGAAAATTACTATTAGAAAAGTTTTAGATAAGTTTCAATCCCTCCGTCTTCCGACCAACTCCTCTGTTTTCTCTCTGCGACTGCCTTTCAAGAAGACGATGCTGCATTCAGGGACGACTTGGAAAATACAGCACTCTGACGCTTGCTTTCCGACCAACAGAGGGAGGGAGTTAAATCAACATGCGGACCAAATAATGTTTGAAAATATACTTCAAATTTCATTCAGAATTTCATATTTGTAAAACTTTTTTTATCCTGTCGCTGATACTGATATAAAGTAACACAATTTAAGACTATGTTTTTAAACTTCAAAATTACATCTTTCCTGATTTCAGTAAAGTTTCTTTACTACTCACTGCACAGTGTCATGATGTATGGAGGACAGAAACTGACACAATTAAAAATAAAAGCAGAAATGTATAAATAACCCAATAAATACACTTAAAATGTAAAAAAAATAAAAGGAGAACTTTACCTCATGTTTTAAATTTTAATTGACCTTCATATTTATTTTAGTTCCAACAAATGTCAATTTAGCACATAATTTAAATTTTACTGTTTTGAAATATCTACCTATCTACCTACCTACCTACATCTATCTATCTATCTA